TATTTCCACGTAAGTGTGAAAATACATAACGAATGGTCATGAGAAAATGTATGAAGATGGAATGGTTACACCCTCACTCTCCCGTAAGAAGAAGAGTGATCTCCTTGGGCTTACCAAAGCACCTATAATGAATCATCGTGAGGCGTTCTTGAAGAGAGTGTCATTAGACGAATCCCAATTGATTACCCCGCACTTTAGTTCCTTCCATATCAGAGCCTCAAAGGAGCATAGAATCGGAATAGGAAACCAATTTTGAGATAGACACCCACGCATGCCAGCTATGTGTCATGGCACAAGTAGAGACCCCTTTTTCCTCAATCCATGCACATAAAAAAAGCATCCACCACAAAAAGTTATCATCCATTTCTCATCCCAACTTCATTGCAACACATACAAATAATAGCAAGCTCAAAATATATGGCTTGGTAAAGCCTTGAGAATGCTTTTCAGACGCTGTTATTTGTCTCTTTTATTGCTTCCTTCATTTTGGTATATACTTCTATCTTATTTTCTTTTTCTTTTTTTAATAAATCATTCAAATTGATGGCCCGGAAAGACTGCCTAGAGCAACATGCAAAAGAGAAAGTAACTCAACTTTCACTATTTAATTTCAATCTAGTTTCCATTTATCAAACCTCTAATTATTTAGTGATTATGAAATTCTAATCATTATAACTAAATTTTGCAACACCCATTCTTTTTTAGTCAAACAATAATTTGCTACTGGAATATTGATACTTCCTATCACACCCTACCAGACCCCTTAACTAAATTTGTGTTATTTATATATCTACAACAGATAAAAGTGTAGAATAAAAAAAAATCTTTTAACATAAGTCCTCGTGAAATAAGAAACTTTGCTAATAGATAGTTAGATAATATGGACTAAGGCAAAAGCCCCGTGAGAGAGAAGAAAAAAACTTCTTTAAAGTAATTATAGAGAAAGGAAAGTATAGAAGCCCTTTAACGTAAATCCTGTGAAAGGGAAACCTTGTCTAATCTTCAGCTAGAAAATGTGAGTTAACGAGTAAAACCTATACATGATATAAGAAGAAAAAAATTATTTAAGATAAGTTTTAGAGAAATAGGATAGTTGCCTAATTGACAGCTAGAGAAACTTGTGTTAAGGAAAATATTGTTTTTAAGAGAAATTCTACCAAGTTGTTTTTTAACAAGTAATATTGTACACCCTCATACATCTTACTAGACTCCTTGAACAAATTTGAGTTATTTATATACTAATAAAAATCAAACTCCCAAAAAGTGTAGTTACACAGGAGTTTTAAGAGTTGCATACTTATGATATAATCCACGTTCAGGAAATTGTATTGGAGGTTATATCGAAAAAGTGAGTGGTAGGATATTTCTTAAATCTTGTATATTATATGTTTTGAATGAAAGTGAAAATGATTTAAGTCGACACCCGCCCAACAAAACTACCCTACCTAACTTGGCATAATTTCAAGAAAAGTATATGTGTAGTGTTTTTTTAATCCTACCACCAATATTCCAATTAACTACTGAATTAGTTTTGCGTACGTCATAGAAATAAAGAAAGAACCATATAATGCAATCTCCATCTAAAAAACAAGGATGGTTATATATAAAATGGTACTTAATTATGATATACATAACATAGTATGATAGTATATCAAATTTCTATTTTTCTCAACAAAATTAAGACAATATAAAATAAGAAATAGTTTTACACAACATGGCAAGCGTAAAACATGTTTTGGTGGTCTAATAGTGAACCTCCTGTTGAACTAAAATAATAAAAACTTCCACATCAATTAGAATATGTACTTCTAAATACTTATCAATGCTATTCTTAGACCATTGTAATAGCTCTTGTCAAATTACCCTAGTCTAGTGTCTATATGTGAAGTCTCAATTATATAATGTTGGACTTAAAATTCACCAGCTTCTAAATTGAATTTTTTATATTTGGCTCCGAACTCACAAGAGACGTGACAAGGACTTCCCTTAAGGTAACTTTTGCTCCGCAGACTTTATTCTGGTGGTGTAGCATAAAGATTTATGTCAAACAATCTCTGCATTGACAAAGAAATCAATTAAAATAGTAGAAACACCATCTTCTTAAAACATTTTTTGTGTTATTTTTGCGTACATCATAGACATAAATAATGAATCTCATGGTGCAATCCACATCTAAAAGACAAGGGTGGTGATACATTTAGTGGTACTTCATCCTGCATACATAATAACGCATTATTTTATTTCAAATTTCTATTTTTCGTGATATAACTAAGATAATATAAAACAAGAAATCATTTGACATACCATGACAAACATAAAACACGTTCTCGTGGTCCAAAAACATTTTTGGATGAACCATAGAAATCAATTAGAATAGTAAAAACGTCATCTTCTTAAAATTTATTTTGTTTTAGTTAAGTAGAAATAAACCATTGGGTTACTGTAAATATCGAATGTACAAAAATTTAATTAGTATATTGAATGAACAAAGAGTGTTTAAATACAATAATATTCTATGTAAACTATTTACTAGAAAACAACACGTAACCCTATTTACTTGGCACATTACCCTTAATACAAGCTACTCACAACCAAAAATATTCTAACTACCTAGACTAAACAACTAATCAATTTTTCTTGCTCAACAAACAACCCATACCTGACCCTTAACATTAAAGGAAAACAATTAACTTCAATTGGCTCATTAATTAAAACTTATCAGTTTACTCTTAATAGTTACCTCAACATAGATTTGGCCTCTGATGTTAACATCCGATTTGAGTCATTACAACTGTCCAAGTTGCGAGGTCATGTCTGTCCAAACAAAAAAAAATTATAATGGGAAGAAAATCTTATAAATCAAAGTTTAAAGGAGACACATATCTTCTTCATTCGACGAGAACAAGCTAGAGTTATGAGAGTACTTTTTAGACTGTAATTATTCTTATCTTCTGCTTCTTCCTTCAGTTTGATGTTTATCGTCGGTCAATTATCACTCATTATTACGTTGCTCTCATGCTAGATTTGGAGGAACAAAAGATGAAAAGTTAAAACCCTATTTGCTTTGGGGGAAAAGTGGGGAAAGCGAAACATATAAAAAAAGGTGGATGACAATTGTGTTTTTCCCCATGTTGCTAGCTTCAGTTTGAAAACCGTCTCGAATGACCACTCATTGTAATGTTACTTGGAGGTAAGAAGATAGAAACAAAACACGCTTGTTTTTTTTTTTTCTTTTTGTTTTGTTGGAAGACCATATGATAAGTCAAAATTTAAGTTTGTTATGGAGGGGAATATGAAAAGGATGGAAGAAAAAAAAGGTGAGTTAAAAAAACAAAAAATTTATATATTTTTTTATAGACAATACTTACATTATCTACTAACCATTAATTATAAGACGAGTGAGCAAAAGATTAAATTACTATTTCGAAAACCCTCAAAGTGCAAAAGAGAAAGAGAGAAACATTTACTTTTTAATTTCAATCATTATTAATATCTAATCTAATTTCTTATATTTTCATTTAATAGAATTTTTATTTAAACTTATATTATGTCTGCTTCGAGGGGGAAAATTACAATGCAGGATTTAGAAAAATTCAAAAAATTTATGTCATTTTTATCATAAAAATACAAAAAATCCCCCAAATATGAAAGATTTTTTATGTAATGGTGAAAGATTAATCACATATAAATAAAATAGACATATATAACTTAATAATGATAGCAGCAACATCTAATTTAGTCAGTTTTATATGTTACTTGTGTTTCCATGGCAGGTAGGGGACGACAAATGGGAACAACACCAGTTTCCTCTTAACATAATTCAACAGTTTATTGAGCATGGTACTATGCCCCTGGGGGTGTATGTTATCAAAGTCACGCGGCAACACGATCAATCCGAAGATTGAATGAACTCGAATCAAGAGCAATGCGTTCTTAATACGAAAATGGGATAACACGGAAACGAAAGGGAATTCTTACACCTGGAAGAATGCACAATCGTTATAGTGAAGCTTTCGATATAATCGAGTGTGATTTCTCGATCAATAAGCAGGTCAGCAAGTTTTGATCGCAACCAAAACCCAAGAACAAGTTCGCAAACTTGAACAAAACCAAAACGGTTTCTTTTTGGCTTAATTGCAAGTTTGGTCATCCGAATTACTTAAAAATTTCACGTTTGCCACCCGAATTGATTTATTCCATTTATAGTCACTCGAATTAGTTGAACAGTCCAAGTTCGGTCACTCTCCGTTAACCTCCGTTAGACTCCGTTAATGACGTCCGTTAAGTGATGACGTGGCTAACAGAAAGACACAGTCAGCACATTTAAACATTAAAAAAAGACGACCCGACCCGACCCGCCAACTCAACCTTACCCACCAACTCAGCCTTACTTGCCCAACCCAAGAACCAACCTAGCCTAATTCACCCTAAACCCAGACCCGAGACCCAACCCCCCCTGAAAATTAAATCGCAGATGGATTAGGGCATTTCCCTTCCTCCATCTTCATCCTCTCATCCTCCCGCGCCGCCTCTCTCCTGTGCACACCAACGAAAATCGCCGTCGAAGGGATGGAGGCCGCCGCCGCGCCGCCGCCCTGAATCCCTCACCCCTCTTGTGTCTGTTCTTCCTCCGCCGCGACTCTTCTTCTTCGCGCGCTGCTGTTCTTCGCGCCCTGAATCCCTCACCCCTCCCGCGTCTGTTCTTCCTCCGCCGCGACGCGCGCTGCTGTTTTCCCCCCAAATCGACGCTTTCTCTCCGGTCGTGGTTGACGAAGGAGACAAAAGGTCTAATCCTTCCCACCTTTTCCCCTTTCTCTCTCCATCTCCAGACTCCTTTCTGCAGTAGTGAAAGTAAACAAAAGCTTCATCTCTCTCTCTCGCTCCCTATTTCTAGGGTTCCCTTTCCCTCTTTACAATTTTCCCCTCCCACCACTGCGCACCACCACCACCACCACAATTCCGGTCTCACTTGACGGCAATCAGAGCCTTTTCCATTTCCGATGGGGTCGATTCCTGATCCAGGCGAGGTCACCGCCGACCTAACTCCTCCGCCGCCGAGCTTTGACGACTTCCAGCGGCAGACTTCTCTCATGACCAGCTGCACTCTCCTCTGGAAGGAGCTCTCCGACCATTTCACTACTCTCGAGCAAAACCTCCAGAAGACGTCCGATGCCCTGAAGCGCAAAATCCAGGCCCTCGACACCGAGACCAAGGACTCCCTGGCTTTCTCTCCCTCGGGAGGGGTGAGGGATTCAGGGCGGCGGCGGCCTCCATCCCTTCGACGGCGATTTTGGATGGTGTGCACAGGAGAGAGGCGGCGCGGGAGGACGAGAGGATGAAGATGGAGGAAGGGAAATGCCCTAATCCATCTGCGATTTAATTTTCAGGGGGGGTTGGGTCTCGGGTCTGGGTTTAGGGTGAATTAGGCCGGGTTGGTTCTTGGGTTGGGCAAGTAAGGCTGAGTTGGCGGGTCGGGTCGGGTCGTCTTTTTTTAATATTTAAATGTGCTGACTGTGTCTTTCTGTTAGCCACGTCATCACTTAACGGACGTCATTAACGGAGGTTAACGGAGAGTGACCGAACATGGACTGTTCAACTAATTCGAGTGACTATAAATGGAATAAATCAATTCGGGTGGCAAACGTGAATTTTTTAAGCAATTCGGGTGACCAAACTTGCAATTAAGCCGTTTCTTTTTCGATTAATCAACAAAGTCTTATGTTTTTACAACGTAAATGGAGGGCTATTTATAGCAAATAAAACCTAATACAAATCTAGATGAACAAGGAAAAAAATAAGGTAAAAGTCTACACTAAAAAGGACACAAAATTCGGGTTTAAACTCCCTTTCTTGAAGCACAATTAAGCTGCCAGCAAACAGTCAAAAGGCAGCTTTTGTAGTAACTTCACGCCTTTCGTTCGAGACCTTCCAGAGCTCCAATTCTTCATCCAATTCCTTACCTTTGTTTAAAAATATACCTAGTTTCATGTTGTGGAAGCCTTTTGATTTGATTCCCATCGATGCTCCTTGAATTGAGCTCCAAAGTAGGCTTCACAAAACAGTTTTCTGCTTTAGCCATTTTCTGGCAGTTTTCCAGTTTTGAGGTATCAACTTTGAGGCCTTGGAAATCAACCTTAATGACATCTTCTGTATCCTCATAGCATACCATTGGAAACATGGCAATTTATCTGTAAAACAAGCTCTTAAAATACAATTTTCTGTGAACCAATTGTGAGAACCATGCCTCCAAAGTAGGCATCTCGAAACTGTCCCAACAGTTGAACCAAATTCTTCCTTTCTTCTTTCCAACCTTGATACCTTCTTTGGCAAGTAATTTTGACTTGTAGAAGTGGCCAATTTGGATCACATCAGGCTCTCCCTCTTCAAAAAGCTTTGCCCTCAAAGCTTGTTCAGGCCTCTTCTCAAAATTGCCACAAAATTGATCCCAAATTGGATCGAAAGAGGACTGCCCAAACACACTTTTCGGCAAAATAATTTGAACTTCAAATTCTTCTCCAGCCCGTAAATTGGCTTCTGTTCTCCATGATTTGAGCTTCATTAGATTCGTAGGGCTCCAAAGGACCTTCCCCACACAATCAATGTGCTCGAATACATCCAGAATCGAAGTTGGCCGTTTTCCAGAATCCGACGAACATTTTGTAGATTCCGGCGAACCCGAGGTTTCCGGCGAGGGCACATAAATTGGGGCTTTCTTCTCGAAGCCTCCACTATTCAATTCGTTGCCTCTGATAGACTTTCCAGGATCCCAGGAATCGAGCACCACCACTCCCGGCCTTCGAATCAGCTCCAATCGTTGCAATTTCAGATTGGTGATTTTCCCGCCGTCGGGAATTTCGAAATTTCCAGTTTCCGGCGAAGGAAACCCAGAATCCGACGAGTCCAAACAAAAATGAGGCATTTTTTATTTTGACATCGCCGCGACAAATTGATCGTTCCTACACGTTCCTAGAGCCTCCGTGAACGATTCTGCATCCTGGGTTTGGCTCGAATCTCTCCCGATCGCCCCTAGGGGTGTATGTTATCAAAGTCACGCACCAACACGATCAATCTGAAGATTGAATGAACTCGAATCAAGAACAATGCGTTCATAATACGAAAATTGGATAAAACGGAAACGAAAGGGAATTCTTACACCTGGAAGAATGCACAATCGTTATAGTGAAGCTTTAGATATAATCTAGTGTGATTTCTCGATCAATAAGCAGGTCAGCAAGTTTTGATCTCAACCAAAACCCAAGAACAAGTTCGCAAACTTGAACAAAACCAAAACGGTTTCTTTTTTGATTAATCAACAAAGTCTTATGTTTTTACAACGTAAATAGAGGGCTATTTATAGCAAATAAAACCTAATACAAATCTAGATGAACAAGGAAACAAATAAAGTAAAAGTCTACACTAAAAAGGACACAAAATTTGGGTTTAAACTCCCTTTCTTGAAGCACAAGTAAGCTGCCAGCAAACAGTCAAAAGGCAGCTTTCGTAGTAACTTCACGCCTTTCGTTCGAGACCTTCCAGAGCTCCAATTCTTCATCCAATTCCTTCCCTTTGTTTAAAAACATACATAGTTTCATGTTGTGGAAGCCTTTTGATTTGAATCCCATAAATGCTCCTTGAATTGAGCTCCAAAGTAGGCGTCACAAAACAGCTTTCTGCCTTAGCCATTTTCTGGCAGTTTTCCAGTTTTGAGGTAGCAACTTTGAGGCCTTGGAAAACAACCTTAATGACATCTTCTGTATCCTCAAAGCATACCATTGGAAACATGGCAACTTTATCTGTAAAACAAGTTCTTAAAATACAATTTTCAGTGAACCAATTGTGAGAACCATGCGTCCTAAGTAGGCATCTCGAAACTGTCCCAACACTTAACCCAATTCCGCCTTTCTTCTTTCCAACCTTGATAGCTTCTTTGGCAAGTAATTGTGACTAGTAGAAGTGGCCAATTTGGATTATATCACATGGAGATTGTCAGTTTACTAGACTATAGACCCTGACAATTCAATGTGCAAATCAACAGATCCGGCCAGTCATACCTCCTGAAGTGATAGGCTATTTTCTTTAAGGCTATCCTGACATGCACGACGAACAGTCTTTTAGGCTGGAGCACATTGCTGATTGAAAGAAGTACTTACTGATTGTATGCTGTGGTATGGTGTCAAAACTTGTAGTAGTAGTTGCCGATATTGAGCATGATTCTTCTCTCATCTCCTAGATTGAAGACTTTAAGGGTATAGAGTGTGAACAATCAACAAACCGCAGCAGACCTAACTCTACCCGGTGATATATGCAGAACTACCTCATGAAGTGGTTCCTTCTCCTGTTGATGCACACAGGAATTTTGTATACGACCATATGTTGTTGCTGCACTCTTTCATTGTTTTTTTTTTTGGTGCCAAGTTCTTTTGATGATGTTGCTGTAGCACTTTTGTGATGCTTGAGATTGATCCAAGAAAAAGAACAAGGTCCTGAAGCTTGACTTGATTGCTGAACAAAGCGGTACTAAATCTGAATGTATGTTTCATATTGATATATGGTGCCTGAAATATTTGAGAAACCAACGATGAAACAACACACCGATTTAACGTGGTATTCTTGTTCTTCTTGAACGAGACTAATCCACAGAGAAGGAAACCCTTCTCATTATTCACCAGCGGAAAGCTCAAGAAAAACTAATCTGCAAACAAGATACAATATATATGTAACCCTATCTCAACTCTCGGCTAGGGTTTACTATGTAGGGACATGAGAAAAGACCAAGATGTCCCTACTGTACATGTGACGTACTCCTTTACCCCCCACCCCACCCCCTCGCGGCGAAGTGAGGCATGGAGGTTACAAACGCCTAGATTATTGAGTTGAAAATGGAAATAATCACTACCAAGACCCTTAGTAAAGAGATCAACAACTTGGTCGTGGGAGTCAATTTTCCGCGGGAGAACAGTTTGGGAGACAACATGGTCACTGAAAAAATAGTAGTCGTGCTCCATGTGCTTAGTACGCTCGTGGAAGATGGGATTGGCAGCAATGTGTAACGCTTCCTGATTGTCACAATGCGGAAAGGTAGGACCGAAAGATGAAGCACCAAGGTCACGCAGTAAGGCGCGCAACTAGATCATCTCGCTCACGACGTGAGACATGGCACGATACTCGGCCTCTGCAGACGAACGAGCAATGACAGTCTGCTTCTTGGTGCGCTAGGACACAGGCGCAGAACCAAGCATAATAAAATACCCGAAAGTGGAGTGACGAGTCATCTGACAACCTGCCCAATCAACACCACAATAAGCTGTTAACTGAAGATTACCATGAGCAGGGAGAAGAATACCTTGACCAGGTGCCTGTTTGAAGTATCGCAAGACACGCTCAGCCGCGGCAACATGAGCAGCTGTATCCTCATGTATATCAAGAATAAAGTACCCTGTTCATTCCCAGCACGCAGGATCAGTTTACCATCATGCACATCAATAAGTGGCTTGGCGGTGGCAAGAAATGGTCTACCCAGAATCAAAGGCACATCCACATCCTCATGTATATCAAGAATAACAAAATCAACAGGATATGTGAATGCACCTACATTAACAAGCAGATCCTCTATGATCCCCCTAGGATGCACAATGGAACGATCAGCTAGCTGAATGCTCATCCTAGTAGGGCTAAGTTCACCTAGGTCTAGCTTTTTATACAACTTATATGGCATGACATTTATGCTAGCGCCTAGGTCCGCCAAGGACTTGCCTACATGCATGCTGCCAATAGTAAGAGGGATAGTAAAACTCCCTGGATCCTTGCGCTTTTCAAGTGACAAACCCGGTTATCTCTTGGGGCAGCAAAACCTTGAGGGATCTTCATATAGACCTCCTCTTCAAGATCCCCATGCAAGAAAGCGTTTTTTACATCTAACTGGTGAATTGCCCAACCCTTCACTACAGCTACGACAAGAAGGCAGCGAAAACTTACCAACTTTGCGACAGGTGCGAAGGTATCATGATAGTCGATCCCCTCGATCTGAAACCTTTCGCCACCAACCAAGCCTTATATCGTTCAATGTCACCATTAGGCAGATACTTGATCTTGTACACCCACTTAGGGGTAATAGCCTTCTTACTTGTGGGAAACAGAACAGGCGTCCAGGCACCATTCGCTTCCAACGCCTGCATCTCCTGTTTCATGGCCTCCCGCCACTCAATGTAACGAATGGCTTCATGGAAATACGTAGGTTCGGGAATCTTAGAGATGGGAGCGAGATAAGTTCGATGACCCTCATAAAAGGCATCATAAGTGACATGCTTGGCCATGGGATGAGGAACATTAGAAGGAGGCAACTCGGTATCATAAACATCGAGGTGCTTAGGGACTGTGCGCTCACGGAGACTTCGCCGAGGTATACACAAGGGGGATGGCGAGGAACCAGCATCAACAACTTCAGGAGGGGTCGATCAAGGGGAAGCCGCATCGGCACCCCGAGTGGAAGTAACATCGGCAAGCCGAAGAGTAGCTTCGTCAGGCCGAAGTGAAGTGTCTTCGGTAGTGGTAGGCGAGCAAGGGGAGCTATGACGTGAGTCTTCGGGCATATCAACAACCGAAGGAGTGCTATGCTCTGCTGTAATGACGGGAGAGCTATTTGTAGGAGAAGCACACTTGGAAAGGAAAGGTATCCTCAACAAAAACCACATTGCGACTAATGTAAAATCGTCTCGCATGCAAGTCCCAAAGTCGATAACCTTTTTGATTGGCAGGATAGCCCACGAACACCGATCGTCTTCCTCGCTCAGCAAACTTCGACAACCCTTTATGGGTATCCTTTCCATAGGCCAAGCACCCAAAAACTCGAAGATGTGATTACTGAGGAAGCTTTCCCAACAACACCTCACAAGGAGTACGATTCCCTACGGCCATAGAAGGCAATCAATTGATAAGGTGAGTAGCAGTAAGAATCAAGTCACCCAAATCTCAAGGGAAGATTAGCTGGAAAAAGGAGTGCACGGGCTGTCTTCAAGAGATGCATGTGCTTGCGCTCGACCAAACCATCTTGCTGAGGTGTGTCGGTGAAGGATGTTTGCAGAACTATTCTTCGTGCCTCATAAATTGCACGCAAATGCGTGGTCTGAAACTTCATGTCGTTAGCGGCCTGAATCCGCGTCACTTCCTGCCCAAATTGCATTCGCCCCATAGTAATAAACATCTCGAGAAACCGCTCAACTTCCGATTTATATTTCAGTAAATAAACCCATGTAGCACGATTGAAATTGTCCACAATGGTGAGAAAATAATTAGCTCCATTCTATGTTGAAACCTTAAAACTTCCACAAATATCCACATGAATAAGCTGAAAACAACGACTAGTCTTGATCGAGCTCTTTGGAAAGGGAAAATGAGTCTGTTTAACACGAATACAGGAATCACAACTGTCTATCGTGCATTTATTATGAATAGAAGTAAATAAAAACAGAGTCTTCTGGTGAGACGGGTGGCCCAGCCTCGAATGCCAAAGCTCTCCCTTCTTGTCTTCATCTCTAGAAACACCAAATGACTTCTGACCAGCCACATCAAACAATAAAAGATAGTACAACCCGTCTAGCAGCACACTACTGTCAATCATCCTCTTGGAGAGTAAGTCCTGGATGAAGCAAAAATGGCGCAAAAAGATCTTAGCAACATCAAAGTCCAGCGTCATTCTGCTTACAGAAAGAAGGTTGCATTTAAATAGTGGAATGCTTAATACATGACTCAATTTCATCCCATTTATCAATTGTACTTCCCCAACTCGTGTAACCGACACACTGTCCCCATTCGGAATTTTAACCGAAAGATAACTCGATGCATTCTGTGAACTCCATAACAAATTTTCATTATTTTTAATATATTCATTTCATCCTGAGTCTATAACCCACTCGGTTCCAGAGGAGAACTTACCCACCATGTTGGCTGTCGGTTCGGAGTTAGCTCCCGAATTGTTGGTGCCATTAGCTTGACTCAAGAAATCCATAAGTTGTTAAACTTTCTCAGAAGATAATCCTGAAATAGAAACACATACCACAGAGGACGTTTGAGCAGCCCTAGGGTTGTCACGTTGTTGATTCCGGTGTCCTCCCTTCTCAGATTGTCGAGGCTTATTCTCTAACAACCCAATAAGCTCATAGAAGCTCTCCTTTGAATGCCCAGTCTTCTGGAAGTGAGTGCAGCGAGGAGGTTTGTCCATTCGCTCATGTGTTTCACCATGCTTCTCGGACTCGACCTGCTCGCGGCCTTGACGTGTTTGGAAAGCTACGGATTCGGCTGTTGGTCTTCTGCTTGCATTTATGTTTTTGTGATGTTCTTATGTTGCAATCAGACGATATGCCTTGTCCAAAATGGGTGTCGGCTTCATGGCAAGGATCTGTGTCTTCACCGTCGAGAATGCCTCATCTAAGCCCATGAGAAAATCAAATAGATGATCTGTCAAGGTTGTCCCGCACCTGTTTCTCGACGTTGCATGTGCATAGACCGCACGTGCATATCAGAATGGGTATGATCCGTTGCATCTCTTCCCAAATGCTTCTCAGTTTGGTGAAGAATGTCGAGATGTCCTTTTCTTGCCTCAACAAGCTCAATCCTTGTGGAAGTTCATAAGCCCTAGGGGATGACCCCTGTCCAAACCACGATTTGAGATCTACCCAGATCTCCCTTGACATATGAGCATACCTAATTGAGTTGCGAATATCCTTTTCCATTCCCATCTTTAGCCATCCCTTCACTAGGGCAGCACACTGAAGCCAAGCACTCACTAGGGATAGTTTCATCCACCATTCCCATCTTGTTCTTCGCAATAAGAGCTTCTGTCATATCCGTTACCCATTCCCCATAGTTGGAATCATTGAGTAACTCTCCAACGAATAGTTGACCAGGGTTTTCAGAGGACAACAGCCTCAGCGCCGCGGGAATATTCGAAGTTGGTTGAACACTATTTCCGCCGCTGCTGCTGATTATTGCGTCGTTAGTCGCACTGTCATTTCCGTCGCCACTCATTGTTGAAAACAATCCTCGAGAACAATCGTGCTCTGATACCATGAAATATTTGAGAAACCAACGATGAAACAACACACCGATTTAACGTGGTATCCTCATTCTTCTTGAACGAGACTAATCCACGGGGAAGGAAACCCTTCTCAACTTCTCTTATTCCGCAAACAAGATACAATTATAGGTAACCCTATCTCAACTCTCGGCTAGGGTTTACTACGTAGGGACATGAGAAAAGACCAAGATGTCCCTACTGTACACGTGACCTACTCCTTTAGTGCCAGAACTTGTAGCACTAGTAGCTAGTTATGGATGTTGAACTTTTGTGACCACAGCTACGATTGTGCATAAAACAGTCTAATTCAATGTGTTCTCCTTGTCCTTGGTAGTTGAACAGCGGTTAAAGATCATCACCAACTCTACATAAATCTTTTATCTTGTGCTAATTCACGCTTCCCTTTTCTGTAGTTAACTTTTTATTTATAATGAAGTTACACACTCTCCAAATCCAAACTAACTAATATTCCACCTCTACCCCATATCCGATAGAAAAATAGGGTTCCATTTTTGGAGAATTCAATTGATTAATGGGAGACGTTATGTATCATATTTGCTTTGACACCAATTTCAATCAAATAAATGCAACTCAATATTTATGTAGAGAATTCGTGAACGAACTTTACTCATTTATACGATCTAAACATAATTTAGGTTAAACCGGGCTTAGCATTACTGATTTGTAGTCCTTGGAGCGGGGGATGACTCATATAAAGGAAAGCTCAGCATAATATACTCGCACTCCAGGCATTCCTTAGTAGATAGCAATGCCACTTTCCTTTTTAAACATATGAATGTTTGTGCGAGAACAAAACGAAGGATACCCCATTTTACCATTTGGAACACCAAGTCACCAACCCTGCTTTAGCATGTCTGGCCTAGCCCTGCCCGTATGGGCTAGACATTACCAAATGATAATAGGGTCAGGCCTGGTCAAGTTGGATGGTTGACTTTACATGGCCAGATTTTTTGTAGGGTAGTTGCAAGGCCATGGTTGGATTTGAGTACCCCAATTCCACACCTAGTATTAGCCAATGATTCTTAATTCCTAATTGATAAGAGCCTCAATACACATTGCGTAGATAAAGTGGTAAACTATTCATACGAGCTTGATACCTAGCCTGTTGGCCTATGTTAATAACAACTCAATCAATTTTCGCATATGATATAGCACAAGACAGAACGCTATAATGATTGGTTTGGTGTGGTTGCCAAGTTGTAGTGAAAACATTTTCATGAATTGCATATGCATAACTTGGATGGATTTAAAAGTATGTTAATTTTCCTAGTATTTTTTTTATATAATGGTGAAAAACATTCAGAATTAAAAGCAAGAGTTAAGAAGCAAACTCTGCCGATCTCAGGAAGGAAAAGCGGCATGAGATAAATAGGTGGTCCAACGATTCTTCATCAGCTTCAAAAAGGGCACATAGGCTTGGAAGAGACCATCCTCTCCTTCTCAAGGCATCATGTGTCAGCGCTTTCCTATGATAAACAATCCACGGAAAAACACACACCTTGTGGGGGACAACAAATTGCCAAACAACTCTGAAGGGGAAGTCGGCAGCCCCTGGATGGTGATCAGTAATAAGCTGTGAATATAGAGATCGAACAGAGAAGCCTTGCTTTTCAGTAAGCAACCACACCGGTCTAGTAGCACCTGCAAAGAAGAAATTAGAAGGCATACTTTTAATTAGATTAAGAAGGTTCACTCGCTCTCTTTCTGCCCCACCTCTTAGAGAATGATTGAGAGTTAATTCCCAAGATAATGTCCCATCACTCAGATTGTAGACATCAGCGATCCGACAATTCGGCGATTCAGTGGCAGCGGCAACCCGAGGAAAGGCCTTAGCCAACAAACTTCCTTTCAGCCAAACATCATACCAGAAAGAAACACAAGTTCCCGATCCTGGAGATATGAAAGCAAACCTCCAAAAAAGACTTTTTAACTTCATAATTTGATTCCAATGGCTAATACCTGCAGGACCACAGAGTTTTCCCGGCGACCACTCAGACCCAGCATTCAGGAATTTCAAGTTAATTTGCTCCCTCCACCAAGAATTCCTCTCCTAAGCAAACCACCGCCACCATTTGCATAGGAGAGACTGGTTGCGTAACGACAAGTCAGAAACACCCAAAACCGCGAACTTCTTCGGTGCTTTACATCTATCTCACGAAACTAAGTGGATTGTCTTTTCACCTTTCGCTCCAAACTAGATGAAAGATCTTTGAAGCTTTTCAAGAGTATTGATCACCGAACAAGGGGCCTTAAAAAGACTGAACCTGTAAAGCGTCTGAGCAGCCAAGACCACATTGCAAAGCGTGATTCTGCCCACAAGGGACAAGAATTTCCCCCACCATCCTTCCAGCTTACTCTCCACTTTTTCAATGATAGGATTCCAAATCTAGATAGAAGAGGCGCTAGCACCAAGCGGCATACCGAGGTAAATGGTAGACAAACATTTCCAATCACAACCAATGATCTCAGCCAAATTATCCATGTTCTCCACTTCGCCCACAAGAAAGAGAAAGATTTTATGAAGATTCACTTTGAGACCAATTATATTCTGAAAGCATATTAAGGCAGCTGATAAGTTGAAAACTTCCTCTTCCGAAGATCCACAAAAAATAATTGCGTCGTCAGCGTACAATAAATTGTTAACAGTCTCGGTTCTATTTAAATCATCCATGAAGAACCCATTGATAAGACATGATTCCTGAGCCTTCTACAGAATGAAATGCAATATATCCATGACCAAGCTGAACAAAAACGGGGAAAGGGAGTCTCCTTGTTTCAGACCCCTTTGCATTCCAAAGAAACCTCCCGCCTAACCATTAACCAACACAGAGAGTTTGGAGGAGCAAAGGATTCCTTGAATCCACTTATTGCACCTTGGGTGAAGGCCTATGTTGTTAAGCACTTTAAAGAGACAACCCCAGCTCATCGAATCAAAAGCTATATTGATATCAAGTTTCAAAATAAGACCAAGACGCCCACTTCTCAGCTTGCTGTCCAGCAGCTCATTTGCAATTAGACAGGCTTCATGAATCTGTCTGTTCTTAATACCAGTAAACTGTAGTCGAGATACAGCTCTACACATAAAAGGTTGTAACCTTAAGAAAAGTAGTTTGGAAAGAATCTTGTTTAGGCTCCCAATGAGACTAATGTTGGCGAAAATCATTAACCTTATGGTATATTTTTGGAACAAAAAAAATTGAGCCATTTTTTACCAGTCTATACCATATGGTATTGACTGGTATTGAAATAAGACCATACCTATGGTTTGAAAAGCGTACCATGGTGGTATGAGCAAACCAAGACTGTAGGATGGTTGAATACATGATAGTAGAAGTATATTTAATTCTCCATCCTTAAATCTGGATTTTCTAAATGAAGGGTTCATATTTAGTTATGCACCCTATCTTGAGTCGTTGCCACAACCCAATAGCTACCCTGCAACTGAAAAAAACAATGAGAGAAGATTTCCAAATCCGTTGAACATATTGGGCAAATAGAATTCGAAGGTAGAGTTTTGGTGTGTAGGACCGTTTGTATGGGAAAGTTGTGAACCACCCTGCACAAAAAATTATTCAACTGGCTCGCAAACCAGGACAGACTTCTCACCAACAAGCAGAGGGAGAAGAGGAAGCTAACAACCTGCAGCGACTGCATAGCCTGTCCAGGAATTGAAGAGACAACATAGCACATTTTAAGGGATTGCAAGAGAACAGAAGGCATTTGGAGGCACTTTGACAGCCTTCTCAAGAGCAAATCACCCACAACTGGCTTTCAGACTTGGCTAGGTGAGAACCTTAAAGCTGATGATACGAGCACTGACTTCGGCCTTGTTTGCTGGATTATCTGGAAGCAAAGAAACGAAGAGGCAATTGAAGGGAAGACCCCTATTGATGAAAGGACAATTCACAGAGCCCTTGCCTGGTTACAAATCAACAAACAGGCAAGTGAGAATGTGCAAAGAAGCATCCTCCCGTTGAGAAGAAATCAGGAATCAAGAGCTCTAGCATGGTGACCTCCACCCAAAAGCTAGATTCAGCTGCAAACAGATGGCTCGATTCTGGGAGCTTCTGGCAAAGCAGCAGCAGGAGGGCTTATGAGAGATCATCTTGGTAGATGTTTGGATGCGTTCACATGTAACTTAGGTATTTGCTCAATCACAAGAGCAGAGATCAAAGGAGCCGCTAAAGGACTTGAGCGTGCGTGGAAGAAGGGGTTCAGGAAAGTGGAGTTAAACCTTGATTCCTCCACTGCAGTTGCACTCATTCGGAAGAGAAATGACACCAACCACTATCACGGGCCACTTGTGGATCACCTGTGCAGGATTCTGGATCGAGATTGGGAAGTTAAGATTTCCCATGTTTTTAGGGAATGTAATTTTGCAGCTAATTTTTTGGCTGGAAAGGGCCACCTTTCTCCTTTTGGCACACATTCATTCCATGTGTGCTACCCTAATTTGGGTCATTGGCTTCTCTATGATTCTGTAGGCATTGCCACAAAGCGTTTGATTTCAATATGATCTAGACGCCTATTGGTGTATGTCTTCTTACCAAAAAAAAAATTATTCAACTTAGGAATGATGGTGAGGTTCCACAAGACCTTCCACAATCTACAATCAAAGCGGAGAGTAATCAAGGGTGTCATAAATTATACTCATTGGGTTTGACAGATTTACATGTTATGTGAGTTATCTGATCGTTATGATGGATTTTCATCATACCTTATGTATGACGTCTATTAAATCTAGTATGCTATAGTGGGTCTTGGAGATTTTTGTTTTTAAGAGCCATAGAAGTTCAATCGACTAGTGTTCGATTGTGAAAGATGGTCATGTCCAATTCATCTAACATAAAAGATATTCAAAGCTATCAACACATGAGAAGATAGATTTTATGGAGGATGCAATCGTATTTTCTTCTTCTTTGCAGGTTCTTGGCTTGGCTTAGTTTGGGCTGGGCTGGGCGCAAAAGCATAAATAAAGTCGCCCGTTGGCTTCAATTAAAAGAGGGCCAATACTGGTATCGTTGTTAAAAGTAGGGGTGAACTTGCCTGCCCCACATTTTGTGGTTAATCACACCCACAAATATAAAATTATGCTACCCACAATCCGTCCCGCACACTGCGAGTTGGTTGTGGATACCCACAAAAACTTCATCATTAAATATAGTAATATGATAATTACATAATGATGTTGTGGTTTTTCTCACACAAAAACTTAATAAAAAATACATAAAAAAGTTATTGAAGAGTTAAATAAATTATAAATCTCAAATACAATAGGTTAGTTAGTATAAATTGAAAAGAGATGGATTTGTAAGGAGATATGAAGATAACGGAGAGGTGGAGTGACGTGTTACAAGACAAACATCGTTGCACGTGGAGGCGCCCTCCGACGACAACAACAGCAAAACACGAAAGTGGCTCGACAAGTGGAGGCGCCTCTTTTAATGGATCGATTATTCCCAGCTCTCGATTATAGTCTTGTACTACTATGAGCTGTCTGTTGCATTATTCGTGAGTTTTTGGAGAACTGGAAACGAGTTTGGGTATCAGACTAACCTTTATCAATTGTTCCTATGTTTTAACGAATCGATTAATTTATCCGACTACATATATTGACTTCATTTTGTAATAATAAACATATATCACACGAACAATGTTTATTTGATAAAAGTATCTCACACAAGCATTGCATATTGACTTGATTTTGTTTTATAAAATAAGTGTGTATTTGGTTTTGGTGGCTACTTTAATTTTTATCCTTCCACGTTTCACAAACTAATATTGCAAAGTATTTTGAATAAACTAACCAGTGTGGTTATTGTGGATTTTGTGGGTTAATCGTTGTAGTTAGTGGTTAACCACTAATCACAAAAATCAATATTTTGATACCCACACCCAATGGTCCCAATCCAATATCCACAAATTGTGGGTATGGATATCCACAACAAAGTGTGTAGATTGGTGCAGTTTGAGGGTTGCCCGCGACCCGCAAACCAAACTTTCACCCCTAGTTAAAAGTACGGCACCGGCGCAACCACTTCCTATTGGGCCACGTCATGGTCCATGTGGCAGGTTGGATTCTGGAAACCAAGTCGAAAAACCAAATGTCCAAACCTTCACCCAATCGATTAAATCCTTTCCAACAGAACCTAGAGAACAAAATAGGATAAACAAGATCTTTGCACAGCAAATCTGCATTCTTGAAATGCACACCTTTCATGCCTATTTCAACTGCTGCATCTACATCCCGAATCTACAGGTAAAATACTGGCCAATATCACACTGCGTTCAAATCTGGTTGGTGCAGTGAAGCTTCCAACGAACACCAATTGTTTCATGTTCCCTAATTCGGCATTATGAGAGAAAGAGAGCAATTTGGGTAGTGGCGACAGATTTAACTACCAGTCATCTGTACAATACAGTGAATCGAATCAATCTCGCAACTTCTAAGTTCTTAGTAGAAATCAGGATTAGGCTTCGTCTTAGTCTTTCATGATAAATATTCAACAAAATGTGACAACGCTTTATAATCTTCTTCCGGCCCATTTTATAGCAGTCAAATTATTAGATTCAGTTAGCATAATTCTATTACTTTTAACAAGTAGTACGGCCAGTTCTGTATTCACTATTGTGTTCTACTTTCTGTGATTGGCACTGTAATAGAAACAGCAAAAGATACAAATCATACCAGTTGTGCAGGATCAGAAGGTCCACGATAGGTATGATGAGATACATAACCTCTCCTCAATCATGTCATACCTAACAAGAGGAATTGATGAACTTTAACACTGGTGAGTTAGTCGCTATAAAATAAAGACCTGTACAAGTGAGATATGGTAGATGGGCAGCAAAATTTGTTCTTACCTTACATGTTGATTTGCGAGAGCATGCATCTCATAGTTTTTGTGCTTTATCTCAATCATCTCTCAAAAGGCGTTCAATAACAACACTTACAGGGGTTTTACCTGGTTGAAGAGTTAACGGATTGAGATGCCCTGTAATGGAAATGGTTGATGCAGTTCTGAAACTCGGCGAATCCAATGCTTGATGACAAAAGCCAGTCTTCTTCCTGAATTGACGATTTCTAGGGGAGACCGCTAGTTGATGAAACTGAAGAAGGGAGAAGTCTAGCGATTGGTACACAAAACTCAACCCAATATCTAAACTCGCCAAATCGTTTCAGTCTCACCGTCAAGTTCTCTCTCAGTTTCCGCTCTCCCTGTATTCGGCGGCTTCATCTTCATACGTCCATCGAAGGGATCTTACATTTGATTTGGTGTGGGATCTTGTGGATCGGCTAGCGGTGCAACAGTACGCATACGGAGGCCCGATGGAGATGACGGATTCATTCCTGGTCGGATGGTTAAGGCCTTAGGGGGCGAAGGCGAGATCATGTGGATCCGGTGCCAGTGCTGCAGATCGACGGAGACTCGGAGATGGAGGGACGAGGGGAACACGACGTGTTGTTGTTTTCAGTATTTTTTGTCTTCAAGATTTTCCAAAAACAAACCAATATATTCCGCAAATTAAAGAGATTCCGCATGTTTGGTTATGAGGGGTTTGAATTTGAATCGACCTGTTTTGCCTTTGGACTTGGTTTCATAATCCAACCTGCCACATGGACCATGACGTCGCAGAAAAGATAAGGTCCTCCCAGCGGAGAATATGATATTTGTGTAAGTATAATATAGTATACGATTTACAAGAATACATATTCGTCCAACAAGAAAAATGTATTCTTATAATAGATAGTAATATGAAATCAAACCTTCAAGAATATGATATTTATGCTATGAGAATATGATATTCTTGAAGGCTTGATTATATTTATGGTACGAGAATATGATATTCTTGAAGGTTTGATTTCATACTACTATCTATTATAATAATACATTTTTCTTGTTGGACGAATATGTATTCCTGTAAATCGTATAATATATTATCATTACACAAATATTATATTCTCCGGTGAGAGGACGTCCTCCCAACAGTAGGTGGGAGGACCAGATCCGATCCGCATGACGTCGCCTAATAGGAAGTGACTGCACTGGGGCCGCACTTTTAACAATAGTATCGTAGAATCGGAGCAAAATATGATTGGCCTTGTCATTGCAATTAGTTTTAGTTTTTATTTGTTTTTAGGATCATAACTCATGTGTTGTCATAAATCTGCAAATATTTTATATCAGAGTCATCCGTTTTTTAGCGTCTAAAAATGTCTAATCATAGAGCAAATTTTGGAGACCCTCAATGGTAATTTTATTCGGTTCTATTTCAGGTCGTAATTTTATTCGGTTTGATTTCATACTACTATCTATTATAATAATACATTTTTCTTGTTGGACGAATATGTATTCCTGTAAATCGTATAATATATTATCATTACACAAATATTATATTCTCCGGTGAGAGGACGTCCTCCCAACAGTAGGTGGGAGGACCAGATCCGATCCGCATGACGTCGCCTAATAGGAAGTGACTGCACTGGGACCGCACTTTTAACAATAGTATCGTAGAATCGGAGCCAAATATGATTGGCCTTGTCATTGCAATTAGTTTTAGTTTTTTATTTGTTTTTAGGGTCATAACTCATGTGTTGTCATAAATCTGCAAATATTTTATAGCAGAGTCATCCGTTTTTTAGCGTCTAAAAATGTCTAATCATAGAGCAAATTTTGGTGACCCTCAATGGTAATTTTATTCGGTTCTATTTCAGTTCGTAACTTTCCGTCACTAGCCAACTTTGGGGCGAGGCTCCCACCAAAAAGAAAAAACTTTGGGCCGAGAATATACTAATATAATCCAATTAAACTTAGGCCCACAACTACGTCACTGTGTTTCATTTTGGTTGTTAGATATTCACTAATTTCTTTGGCAGAAAAAGAATATTGGCGCTCGTAGAATTTCACCTTAGTGGAGAGACTTTATTTTATTTTATTCTTGAACTAATATGATAAATATAAATCCACAAATATATTATACTAAAGTAGGGATGACAATCAAACCCATGATTGCAGATATCCAACCGTTCCGGATCCAATCAATGCACAAAATTCTCGCATTGACTGGCGGGTATGGATAAAACTCGCAAAAGGTTTATGGGTATGGGGCGGGTATGGGTTTAACCTCCCCCGCCCATACCCCATACCCATCCCACGAAGAACATTTCTTCACATATAACAAATACATGGATCAAATTGTAACCTATCAATGATAGTGAAGATAAGTCAAGAAAATAAATAATAGAAATGCAATTGAGTGGCCACCCAAATCCAAATCTAATTCCTTTTCTTCAATTCTCCCTTAATTCTTTCACTTTTTCCTCTTGTTAACAAGATAATCATGTTGGGAGTGCAGCCGCCACTGCTTTAAGCAGAACCTCCTTTGCTGCCCACGACAAATTTCTCTGCTTCCAACCCTGAAGCTTAGCCAATAATCGCTCCTCCAAATACCGAAATGTCTCCACCTTAGACCGCTGCACTAGAGTGGGCAGGCCTAGGTACTTGTCCTGAACTCCTACAGCCCCAACACCCAGCACACCCGCCATCTCATCTGCCTCTACCGGGTCTACATTCCCACTAAAACATACTGCCGACTTATTCAAATTAACTTTCTGCCCACTCAGCTCCTGATACCTGTGAAGCAACTGCACCAATGCGTCACACTCCTGTCGAGACGCTCTCAAGAACAGATAAGAATCATCTGCAAAAAATAAATGGGAAATGCTAGGGCATCTTGGGTTCACCTTAACCCCCACTAGCTTTTTCTCCGAGATAGCCTGTCTCAACAGAGCCGCGAATCCTTCAGAACAAATGGCAAATAATAGCGGAGATAACGGATCCCCCTGTCGTAGCCCTCTCGTCGAGCGGAAATACCATGCAGGCACTCCGTTCATCATAACAGAGAAAGACGCAGCACTCCCAATCTATGTTATGTCTTGTTTTCTCTTGCCAGTAACCTTATGTAGAAAATTGGACAAGCATATGGCTCGCTTTTGGTGGGGGTACTCGGTGGATAAGGAAAAGGCGCATTGGGTTTCCTGGCGGAACCTGTGTCGTAGCAAATTCGATGGTGGGCTTGGGTTTAGACGCTTCGAGGACTTCAACCAAGCTTTGTTGGCAAAAGTGGCTTGGCGGGTTTGGCAGGAACCGCATACTCTACTGGCACAGGTCTTGAAGGGGAAGTACTTTGCGCAAACTTCGATACTACAAGCGAAGCGTGGTTCTAGACCGTCCTGGGGGTGGACTAGTGTGCTCCATGGCAGAGATTTATTGCAGCAGGGGTTAGTTTGGCAGATTGGTGATGGGAAAGACGCGAGGGTGCTGGAAGATCGTTGGATCCCAGGGGTGAGGCGTGAGGAGGTTTGTATACTCCCCTCCGCCCCGGTGTTGACAGAAGCCAGGGTAGAGTCGTTCTTGGTCCCTGGGTCGGGGAAATGGTGTGTTGAGTGTCTCCAACAGTGTTTCCCTGAGTCGGTGATGCAGCGGATTTGCTCCATTCCATTGCCAGTTCGGCAGATACCGGATCGGTGTGTTTGGGCTTGGGAGTCAGATGGGGAGTATACAGTGAAGTCGGGGTACCACCTGGCTCTTCAGATCAGTCGTGCAGCTCCGGGATGGAAGGAGGAGGTTTCATTCTTTGATATGGGATTTTGGAAGAAAGTGTGGGGTTTTCCGCTGCCTCCTAAGTTGAAATTCTTTGTATGGCAACTTCTTAGGCGGGTGTTACCCACTGCGGAGGCTATCTTTGAAAAGAGGGGACAAAATCCGACTGAGGTCCGGGACCCCCCTGAAGATGGTGAGACACTCTCTCCCAGATGCCCGGTCTGCTGGGAACCGGTGGAGACCCTGGAGCATTTATTTTTGTCTTGTAGAGTTGCAGTGGACCTATGGAATCGCTCGGGTGTGACAGGTGTGGATGGGATGGCGGGGGTGTCTAACTTTGCTTTGTTCTTCCGTAGTATGGTTGAACAAGATGATGGGACAGAGCGGATTGTACGTATGGTGGCTCTGCTTTGGAGAATTTGGAAGAGCCGGAATTGGGTAGTCTTTGAGCATATACAGTACGATTTAACATGCTTGGTTCGTCAGTTTGAGATGCAGGTGCGTGAATGGATGGCGTTTGTTCAGCCAGAGCAAGTACCGGTGCTTCAGCGGCGAATTTCGTCTGGAGGACGGGGTCCGGTCCAGTTGCATCTGGCGTTGCCGTTTTCTTGTTATGTGGATGGGGCAGTGGCGCCGGGATCACATGGTGCGGGGGGCTTGGTTATCCGCGATGGCATGGGACGGGTGTGTATGGTCAAGGGATTTTATTATGCAGGTATTGTGGATCCTTTTCTCGTGGAGTTAGTGGCGTTTCGGGACGCTGTCCAGTGGTGCTTAGGGAAGGGGATGGATGCAGTTTGGTTTTATGGAGATGCCAAAGGTGTGATTGAGAAGATTCAGCGGCGGGATGCGCGGGATATGAAGGGGGGCGCATACTTGTGGAAATTGAGGAGTTGCGGAGGCAGTATCGGTCTTTTGGTGTCTCTTTTGTTGGCAGGAATGACAATCGGGTGGCTCATGAGGTAGCCAGGAAGACCCTCTCTTTGTTATCTGCTGTTGTTGCGAGTTTTGATTTTGATCAGTGGTTTCATTTTGGATTGTAAAACTTTGCTATCTTTGATTTGGTAATACCAGTTATCTATTGCTAAAAAAAAAACAAGATAATCATGTTAGTTTATTATTACTTAGTAGATGTATTCGACTTAACACTAATGATATGAAAAATATTGTACTCTATCTTATTTATTAATGGATGTTTTAGGATCATATGATTTGAATCGTATTAAGAATAATTATATTTTTATTGACTTCATGATATAGTAGGCCTATTTAGCTTTATAATTTCAAATTTACATGTAAAATCTTAGGTATAATGATGTTGGATGTATGGGGAGGGTATTACCACAGGTTCTCAAAAGCTATCATGTTACCTACTACAGAGAACCAAATAGTTTGTAGTTTATATTGATGAAAGGAAATCAATCAAATAGGTTCTATAGTGGAGGGAAAGTAAAAGGCAACATATTGATTTTTCGTTGATATCCCTCACTTGATTAGAAGATAAACAAAAAATGAGTTGATGGAATTTAAATAATGAGACCAAGTAAACAAAATGATTTGTGTCTTCCTACTTCCTAGCAACTCTAACTCTAGCAAGTGTAACATCTATAATTGATGGTTCCAATGGCATGCTTCTGTCCTATCCATAACTGGGAAACGAATAAGAGAACCAAAAAAGAAAATATCAAAACTTTCAAAGGTCAAACATGAATCAGAAAAACATGAAACTCATAAATCCAAAATTACATATCATAGAACATCAAAATTCATCATCGTCTTCATCCTAGGTGAATAGTACTCGGAAATCCAATCGAGTTCTTGTGATTCTCACAGACACAATTCACGAAGCCATGGTGCATATAACCACAAATTTCAGTTCAAACACTTTAACCACTTATGCCTACAACCTTTTGACAATTTAAAATTAATTTTACAAAGAAATACGAACCTCCAACTTGAGTCCCAAGCAAGGAACTCATCCTGATCGGAGTAGGTAGCCGACTAATCCTTGAACATTGGGGGTAAGTAGGAGATGACATCTTACTTCTTCAACCCAAAGTGGTGCCATAGCTATACCATTTACTCACCAGTCACCACATTCAATCAACTAACACATCTAATTAACTTAAAGATTCACTAAAAATAAAGAGAGTAGAGGGAAAAATTAAGTGAAGAAGAAGGGAACCTTCATTCACTGCACTCTACCACCGTTGCTTGGGATGCAATGTCTTTGGGTCAACATCTCATCCAAGAAATAGAACACACTCCACTGTAGCACAAAACCGGCGAAACATAATGGTCTATAATTGGATCAAACGCGCAATGGAAAAGGAAAAATAATCAGTACAAATGCAACACACAAATCTCATCTACTGATTGCTAATAGCCAAAAAAAGAAAGAAACCAAAGTAAAGGAAGTTATAGGAAGAAGAATATGGCTCTGGTTAAGCGTTGTCCCGGATTTGTAGATGTTGCTCAGAGAGACGAACATCGACAGCGATTCTATTTTCCCATTTTTGGGTATTAGTTTAGTCCATTTAATTTTAGATAAATTATATTTATATTGATAATGATTTATTAACCAGCTTTTCCATTCATTCATTAAAATTTTTCCCAAATTCTTACTTTTTAATTTGGAATCAAGTAAAACTTGTGTTTCAAAAAACTCTTTTATTTCATTGTTCACAAATTGACAGGTTCCGTTACATTGAAGGACAAATCTTAACACTTATAAGTGAATCACTTGCATTTTTTATAATTTATAAAATATTGGGTAAAGGATGGCGCTCAGATTTGTAGATGCTGCTCAGAGAGACGAACATCGGCTGCTAGTGTCACGCTGTCAGAACCTGCCATTAGCATTTAGTGGCCGATCTTACAACATAAGGCCTCCAATTTAATGATGAAATTATGTGAGAGATTGGGGGCTTCAGGTTCTCGAAAACTTCATCTATATAAGGTGTAGTAAAAATAAAGAACATTAATGTTTTTTAGTCTAGTTGGATAATGCATACTTGATCATAGGTTCTAATATTAGTTATTGCATCTTTTTTTTTAAATATTTTCATATCAATTTATTTAATTTAACTTAGTAAAATTTGACTTTAACAATCCAATTGATCAATATTTCACTTGTTTTAATAACCTGAAAGTGTGTCCATTTAACTTACATGAACTCAGTTGTTTAATTTACCGTGGCTAAAATATCAATTTAGTCCATTACTTCAATATTTACAAAATTTAGTTTTTAAACTTCCAGTGTCCCATTAACTCCCGCTGTAGAAAAAAATATTTTCTTAATGATACTTTTGGAATGAATAATGGTACTTTAGTCATTGAACATCCAATGAGTCAAACTACCACCTATAACAGGAACATTTATATTTTATAAGACATCTTTGAAGATAATTAAAATACTTCATATTCTTAGATAAAAAATGTGAACCACATACTATTGCTTGAACAGGGCCTCCCAAGATGATTGACGGTCCTGTCCAGTATAATTTTATCTTGTAAATCTTGAATCTTCTTGTGGCATGATCAATAGTAAGTATATACGATATAACATATTTTACCATCATTAGATAAATACGATGGCGACATTATAAATAAGATATCCATCAACAATCGACAAGCATCCAACAACTATAACATATTGTATGAACCTTTCCCCATATGTTGCAAGCACCTTAGCCAAATTTCTATAAACAATTCATCTTTTTTTTGGGGTGGATGGGGAAGTGACACTTAGAATGTAGCGGTTCTGATTCTATATGCATGTATAATTTTATGACAAGATTTGTATTAATGTCAAACAAACTCTGGTAGAGAACATGCATGGTCTCGGCCATAAATACCACCAGATTTCTTCTTAATTATTCCAAGTTCTCAACTGCATGTAGGAAGGATCCACGGGGACACCCCTAAATTTTAGGAAAACGATTATCCAACCCCCCAATGATAATTTACGTATGGAAAAAAAAATTATAATTGATAGACAGGGATACCCTAGAAATTTGAAAAAATGATTATCCTACTCTCGTCTTTTAGTTTGCGTATGGGAATATAAGTGGTTGTTTGGGTAATTCGAACGTAGGACACTATTATTATTAATAAACATAATTTCCATTAGGCTACAACTTATTTTTTATTCGATTTTAAACACTGTGTAATAGTAAAATGTCATTCCCTATCTCTGGTTATTTTCAAAACCTAACAATTAAACAAATTTCAAGCTATTCTTAATTTGTATTGATTTTATGGTTACATGATAAGTGTTGAAAGAGTCTTTTCAGATTTAGATTACATCAAGAACAAGTTCAGAAATCGAATATGTGATTAGTTCGTGAATTGCCTAGTAAGAGATACAAAAACAATTTCTTTGACTAGTGTAGACACCAAGTGTATTCTACAATTATTTCGGAATATGAAAATACATCGTGGAATTTTTTTAAGTTGTACGAGTCAAGTATTTTCTTATTTAAAATTATTTAGATTTTATTAATTATTTAAGAATTATTTTTATTTAATTTATTTCTTAAGAGAGGACACCCCTATGTAAAATTCTTGGGTTCGCCACTAACTGTATGGAATGCATGGACTACTTTTTTGGCTTTTATAGTTCCTTATTTACATTTGTTAGCCAAACCCAAAAAATAACAAATCAACAAGAAACTGCATGATGTGATCATGGATTGTGACCCAAAACGATTCACATTGATGTTCAAAGAAGAAACCAAATCAAGGAAAGAAGAAGCTGAAAATTTGGCCAAGTGTGGAAACAGTGTCAGGATACCTACTTTGGAGGCTTGTATCTTCATATTGGAAGATAATTGATGGGAGTTTGGAGTTGGACATCAAAATATAAGTTCAATTAAAGATCGTGAAGGCATTGTATGAGAAGATTGAAGCTTCCTAGACACCAAACGATCAGCCTAAATATTGTATGTAGATCAAGAAAAATACCCTATCAGGTGGATTAAAATCCCCTATAGGAGATCTAAGGTTTGAGATAGGGCATTTGGGTCAGAACTCAGAAGGACTCCTGGTCAAGAGGTTAAAATACTCGATAGGCTGACGAGTTTTAGTTACTTTTTTGGTTTAGGATTCTTTTTTCTTTTTTTATACTTTCAGTAGTTTTATTTTTAAAACCTATTTAAAAGGTTGCAGACTCTGTTGTTAGGTTACATTATTCGTGGGTTAAAGGGTGGCGCTCCCGCTCTAGCGCGGCAAAAGTGCGATTTTGCTGGGATCTGTTCCAAATTCGCAAATTATAGCTTGATGGATCGCGGATTCAGTTAGAAAAGCGTCGAATTCATTTTAACCAGAGCTTCCACCTATTTCCTCGTTAAACTTTCTCTTTTCCCTTCGTGCAGTCGGCCGCCGCCGAGATGTGCTACCCCAAGCAAGGCTTTCAATGCGTCGTGGTCCGTCGATTCGTTCCCGACCACTAATGATTGGAATCTTTTCAAGGTGATAACATATCGACGAGTAACAAGTTGCCGGGTCGGGTGACAACCCGCAAGTACAGGGCCATGGAGAAGAGGTATTGAGGATGAGGGGCATGCATTCGGGGTTTCGGCGCAGTCATTGATAATAACCAGGAAGAAGGGATTGTGTGGTGGTTGGTGTTGGATCGACAATTCTCAGGCGGGTTTGGCTCCAATGAGCCAGAGAAAGAGATAATAAGATTGATGAGAGTTGAAGCCGAACTGTCAAAGACTCCAAATAGATATATTGTTCTGTATCCCTTTTAATTACAACTGGTCTCCATACTACTTGTAAAAATGTTATAAAGTCCTCATAAATATAGCTACCTACGGTTCAGTCATGATATGTCAATATGTAATTTCTAATTGTTAATCATTTAAGGGGATTTGGGAATGAAGGTTTTGTTATTCTTGCCTTCTTGGTCATTTCTGGTTCCTTCTATTTTTTTTTTTTTTTTTTTGTCATTATGCTTTACCAAAGTTCAACTCTTTAGTTTGGGATACAGTGTATATATATGACTTTATGGATTAAATATAATTAATATTAACGATTTTTTCACGCTCTCAATAATGAATTCTTCTATATCAGACGCTCTTGCGCTCTCGCTCCCACTCTCGCTCACGCTCCACGAACTGGTTACCTAACTCTGTTGTGTGGGAGATTATGTTGAAATAAAAAAAAAAACCTTTTCGGTTCATTGAGGGTTTACTCTTGAATTTTGTCATTGTTTGTTGGTGGATCTCTAGTTCGAGCGAGC